AGGTCTGTCACAGTCTGCAGGTTTTATAATCAGATCTAGCTCAGCAGCTGCAGAATAGGCTGTAGTACCAGGTCAGAGCAGCAGAGGGCGTAATAGACCACAGAGAGGACCGGATCCATGGATCGTTCATCAGTAACGTTCTCCTTGTTCTCCTCCTCAGACTCGGGTTCCAACGCTGCAGAGTGACGCTCCTCCATCAGCCGGACTGTACATATAATTTATACAGCAGTTACTCTGTGTGTGTGTGTGTGGGGGGGGGGGGGGGTGTTTTTTATTCATATCAGGATGTGTGTGTTCCGTTTGTCGAAGCATCTTTAATAATAAAAGTTGATGTAAAGCTGCAGACCGTTTGCTCCTCATTTCTAACAGAGTTCTGGGAGGTTCTGCTCTCTGGGTCAGTGTCTCCAAATGATCCATCGGGTCAAGCCTGACTTAACTCTGATCCTGGATCTATAGGTTCAGCTTATTTAAAAACAGGCCTCTGGAAAGGTTCGGAAACTTTAGAGGAGTGATGGGATCTGAGCCCGTTTGGATCAGGAAGCAGCTCAACCAGAACCACGGAGACGGTCAGAGGAGCAAAAGTTTCTGTTGTTTACAGCTCTGCTCCGCATCAACATTTTTAAAACGGATAAAAATAAGTAAAAGACATTGAAATAAGTTTATTTCATCTTAACAAGTGGGTTAATACAATGACATGTCTTATGTTTACCCTTAAAATACGATTCCCTTGAAATAAGAACATTTTTTACATTTGAACATTAATAATTCTGATGCATTTGGAAATCATCTTAGTTGCATAAATCAAGAGAAAACACTTAATTCATGGCTTGAATGTGAATCTGACTGCAGTGCCTAACATGGCAATAAATCCACCTTTAAATAGTCTAAAGTTTAACTTTATTTTCAATATTCCTTTAAAGATGTAAAAAGATAAAGAAACGGTCGATGTGAATCATTTATGCATTCTTACCAAACCCCCCCTGCAATTACACTGGACGCCTCTAGGGGGCGTGTCCTCCCCTTTGGAACCATCGTTTAAAGGAAAAGTCGCTCATATTCAGAATTCAAACTTCTGAAAGTTCTTTAAATCTGAAATGATTCCATCCTGTTCAATAAATGATCAGTGTTTTTAATTCAGAGTCATTTTCATGTGAATGTGCTTTACTGGAGGCATCCATGTTTGTCAAAGAACACTACTGCCACCTACTGGTTAGTGACATTGTCACGGTGCGGTATCGGCTGTTGATCAAGTCCCAGTGCTGTATCTGGTGTTTGTCCCAACGCGCTATTATCCAAGTCATCTTGAAAACATTCTTCTTCCAAATGTTGGCTACATATTACGGGTTTTTTCTCTGGCCAGAAGTTCGATGGCAAATCCTCCCTCTTCAAGTTGGCGATCCAACGACCAACCCGTCCGTGGAGGATCAGGAATCAGAAAGGTGGAATAACTCTTTTTTTCACTTTTACCCGATGTATTCCAGCATCCAGCTGCCATGCACGTGGGCATTGTCAGTTTCACTATAGCTCTGGTGAATTTCAATGGTGAAGTCCTCTGGAAATCTTCAATAATTGTTGTTGATTGCAGATGTGTCTAGTAGTTCCCATTGATTTAGCTTGGAAAGCGGGTAGAATGGCGCTAGGCTAACCGCACCGTGACGTCACTGCTGGAAGATGGCAGGAGGGAGGGGCTACTAGATTTGGGCAAAGATGGCCGCTCCCAGACTCAGTGATCACCATGAAAATGTTTTTTATTTTTTACTGATTAACACTGAATTCATTAAATTCTGTGAACAGATTAGTTTCATGTATAAATGATGATCACTGGTTAATCCGGACTTTTCCTTTAAACCGGAACCTTTGGATATCGTCCAGTTTGTTCTGCAGGATGATTAACTCTCATTCTTACTGTTTAAAATGTTCTGATAAAAACCTCGTCTGCCATTGGCTGAGAAGCTTGGCTGACCGGATGGAAGGAGTCGGTTCTTCCTGCTTTGCATCATAAACATGAACCTGAGCTCCGTCCTGTGAGCTACAGCATGAAGCTCCTCCTGATCCGACATGGAGACGTGTTCCTCTCTGAGGACCGCCTGCGTTTTATCACAACAGAAGGAAGACGGAGCTTAAAGCACAGCTAATCTTCTAATGAGCGATTTATTTTCTTCTTCTGCTGAATGGTAACAAACTGAGGCTGGAATAACAATCGGCGCGTCTCCTTCATGCAGGCGTTCCTCCTCGTTCTCCTGCTTTAATGTCAGCGACTGAAAATAAAGGAGACGATCTTGGTCCTCATTGGTCCAGACGATGCAGACCCTCAGCAGCCTGGACAGGGTTGGTTTTAAACCGCCATCGTCATCACGGTCCGCCCGCCCGCTGAGGCGGCGCGGCGTCAGTCCTGGAAGCGCTGGCAGGCCTTCTTCCAGCGGCACGCCGTGCACCACAGCTCCCGGTGCTCGATGCCGTAAACCTTCCGACACTTCTTGGCCTCACTTCGAATCCTCCTGATAGACAGAAACATGTCAGTGAGAAGCTGCGGGCCCCTGAGGGCCCCTCACACAATAGAAGCACCGACCTGCAGGGGGCGCTGTGGTGCTGCAGCCACTGCTCTCCCACGCTGACCGATCGGACCCGGAACGCCTGAGGAGGAAAGACGGGTCAGGTTCCTCACAGAACTTCACGGTCTGTCTATCTGCTGGTTCTAGATCTATGTTCTGCTGAGCTTCCACAGCTCCGCCCACAGAGACCAGGTTCTGGTTCTGGATCACCCTGTCCAGGCTAAACTGGTAATGATCTGACCTGGATCCAAATCCTTGATCCCAGTCTGCTGGGTTCTTCTGACCATCAGTGAGAAAACAGAACATTTTTCTGCTCATGTGTTTAAAGCAGCAGAACCAAAGGTTCTGGAGGACTGGATGGACAGACGGACAGAACCAGGACCTGCTGGCTCCTCCCAGAACAGCCTCAGGAAGCATAACTAACAAACCCATTTATTTATTGTCAAATCCATAACAAAGTTCTGAGGTTTAAGAAGAGAAAGCGGATAATTTCCCAAACTCATTCCTTCTGCTAACTTCACAAAAAAACAATAAACTGTAAGAAGATGATAGAAGAAGTTCTGGTTTGAAACCAGAACCAGGATCATCAGAGACCCAGAGGACAGATGATGTGGAACATTTCAGTCTTTTACCTGTCTGCTGCATGTGGTGGGCGGGGCTGTCAGGGGACAGGAAGTAGGGGCTGCAGGCAGAACCATGAGGCTTGGGGGCGGAGCCTAAAGCACAATGAACATGTTAGGATGGAGTCTTTCATTAGACATTAGGTAAAACACAAACCAGTTTCAGCAAAACGTATTTCCTAAAATAAATAATTAGTTCTTCAGGTTTGAAACAGATTCGAACCTTCAATACAGAAGAAGCTGGTGAATTTTAGCGAGATTTTTATTTTTAACGAGCTGTTTGATACTAATGAGCCGATCAAAGTTAACCAGCCATTTATTGTTAACGAGCTGCTCATTCTTAATGAACTGCAGGGATGGGAATCATAAACCGGTTCCTGTTCAGAACCAGTTCCGTGTGTTCCAGTTCCACGGCACCGTTTGGAAGCTAGCTTAACGATTCTCTTAACGGTTCCAGGCAGAACCAGAGCCTACCGCTGGGCAGCACGACTTACAGCACGTTTTTTAGGCAAGTTACGCTCGCGGCATTCAGCTAGCAAGTACGACGTGACCAGGCGTAAGTCTAGAAATGCAAAACAAATAAAATGGCGTCCCATCGGGTAAAGCTATCGAAAGCTTGGCTTTCAAGAGAAAGATGGCAACAAGGCGCTTTGCAATCATTGCAATGTGGCAATAATATCCGCAGGAAGAAATACCTCCAACATGCAGAACAACATGGCATCCATTCGAACCATTGCCGTGTTTCTGATGCTTCCAGACAGAAGCTAAAGTTACGACCAGCATGGAAGGAAACTCTGGTGGTTAGAAGCTAGTTTTCTATCACTGGCTGAGCTTAATGTGGTTCCTAGTAAATCAGAAGCCATTTCTGGAAATAAACCAGTTTCCTTCCTCTCTCTGGGGTAAATAAGCGAGTGGGCCTTCCTCGCTAACCCAGCGCTTCATTGCTAGCATGTTTAATTAGAACTACTGCTAGCTGGAATTCTTACATGATTCCAGCTGTTGCAATGGATGCAACCAAACATGCTACCAAGTTGCTCCGCAGTTCAGGGAGCGAGAGAAAGGTGGCGCTCATTTATTTAAATCAGGGGGAAATTAGTTTATTTCCCAAAATTGTTCAGGAAAGATTTTTCATTAAACGGAATCGAATCGTTTCTCAGAATCGATAAGGGAATCGGAATCGTGAAAATCGTATCAATTCCAAACCGTAAAATGTTCGTTATTATTGAGCTTTTCTTTGTTAAAACCTGCTTATTGTTATAAGCTGTTCATTCATGGAGACATTTTTATTCTGTTGGTGCTAAACGAGCTGCCATTCATCCATGGCCCGTCATCAGAGTGCCTCACAGAAGCCCCGCCCACCTGGTAGGAGTGCTCTGATTGGACCTGCCAGGAGCTGCTGCAGGGGGAGGGGGCAGATTGGCTCAAAGTGCTGCAGTTGGGGTTGGGAGGAGAGGGAGGGGAGGGTGGGGGAGGAGAGGGAGGGGAGGTGCTGGGTGAGAAAGGGGCGGGGCCACATGGGGGAGCAGCAGGGGGAGACTCGTCCCTTTGGTTGATCTCAGAATAGTAAAAGTCTTCCTCGCTTCGAGAGCATCGTTCATGTTCACCACCATGGCTGAAACACAGAGGTCAAAGGTCACTCAATCAATCATCAGCTGACTGAACGATGAAGATGATTCTAATTTAGTCCTGAAGGAAATGAAGCAACTGAAGGTCATTTTCTAGGCAGAGTGGTCGCGTGGCTCAACGGGACCAGAACCAGTTAGGGTCTCTGGTTCGATGCCAGACGATCCAGAACTCTCTGGTTGGGACCCAGTTTGCTACCTGTCCAGCTGTGATGTCACAACATTAAAGAAACTTCAGCAGGTGTCTCACCTAAGGTGTACCGTCCTGATGTGGCGTTTGATTCCCACCAGCGACGTCAGCACCTTGGCGCAGCTCGGCCACAGACACCTGTACGCCACCTTCAGCGAGTTCTGTGAGGGAAAACGGACCGTCGGACCACCGCCATCTGTTCCGTCTCTCCGTGTTTAACAGAAAAACAACCTCACCCTGCGTTTTCTAGGTGCCGGTTCTTCAAAAAGAACCTGGTCCAGCTCCATGTCCAAGCCCTCATCAGTGGGCGTGGCCAACCTGCCGTTTGCTTCTGTTGTTGGAGAGGAAGGGGCGGGGCTTCTTGGGCCGCGGTCGACGCTCCAGTAGCCACTGCTGCAGCTGTCCGAGATGTCCGCGGCGGCGAGGTCCACGGAGGGAGCTGAATGGGAGGAAGAATCAGGGAAAACTGTCAGACTTCCATGAAACTTCCTTTTTTATCGTCGAGATAAATGTTTTTATTGTTGAGACATTTCTTTCCCTGTTTTGTTTACCTGGGGTGTCTTTATGGACGGGGACCTGGGACGGGGGAGGAGGACTGCAGGACAGGCTGCTGAGGACCATGGCTGCCATCAGCTCATCCATGTCCACCTCCTGCTGAGCCGTGCGACTGCAGAGCAGCAGTGATGAGTGTGAGGATGTTTACTAGTGAGCGATCAGAGAACAAACAGGGGGGAGGAGCCTGACCTTCTGGGGACGTCGATGCAGGAGGAGATGGATCGGACAAAAGACGGAGACACCGAGGATGCAGACCGGTCTGTGGCGTCCGTCTGACCGTCACCTGCTCCGCCACACTGAAAGTACACCTAAGAGAGAAGGACGCATAGTGATTGGCTCATCTAGCTGTCAATCAAAACATGTCTCCTCCTCGCCATCACCTTAGGGGAGTGGCAGCCTAGTTCTGAGGGTCCCGAGTTCAAGCCCCACTCCCACAGCCTGCCACTGGGTCCCTGAGCAAAGACCCTTAACCCCCCACTGCTCCCCGGGCGCCGCCCCCTGGCAGCCCACTGCTCCCCGGGCGCCGCACCCTGGCAGCCCACTGCTCCCCGGGCGCCGCACCCTGGCAGCCCACTGCTCCCCGGGCGCCGCACCCTGGCAGCCAACTGCTCCCCAAAGGGACAGGTTCATTTCGTTGCTCTGTTCTTGTGACAGTACAATAAGAATAAAAAGCTGGAATTCTTCATCTGACCAAAAGCATTCTGGGACTTTCTTTTCATTCTGATTCCCTCGATGTTCAAGCAGAAAGTTCTCAGATAGAGAACCTTCCTGGGTCTCTAAAGGTTCTTAGAAGCACAGGCAGGAACCTTCTGCAGAACCGGGAACCTTTGGTCACAGAAAAGGTTCCTGGTTCCACCTCTCACCTTCAGATCGTTGTGACCTCTGACTCTGCCAATGCCTTGTTGTCCTGCCACTGTTGCCATAGCGATGCTGGTCCTGGTCGCCTCCGGGCAGGGCGGGCCCAGCAGCGCTCCTAAAGGCGAGCGTTTTCCCAGACGGGTGTTGGGCATCATGTGGGCAGGGGAGACGCGGCAGCAGCTGTACTCTCTTCATTAAACTCTGACGGCCTTCAGGTGGTTCCCACTCTGAGAAATAAAGCGACACATGAACTCACATCACGTTTAAACACCTGGGACACATTTTAGACCAAAACACCTGAAGATATTACAGGCCTGAAAAAATATAAACCTTTCTATCGTTTTCCAAACCCTGCTGACACAAAGAGAGCATCTGGAGCCCTCAGGACAGGAAGCTTCGACCATATAAGGATGCATTCATGTTAAGGACAGCAGAGTTTAGCTTTCTGTTGCTTTAAACTGACAAAAAAAAAAAAAGACTTTCCAACAGAAATATTTTAAATCAGAAAAAACAACTTTATTTTATTCCAAATGGATTATATCTAATTATTCTATTTTAATAAAAATGATTCTTATTTAATTGGCAGTTCATGTTATTAAACGGCTTGAATTAGGGACAAATGTAGACGTTTAAAAATGTTTTACCTTTAGATCAGTTTTTACAGTGTATAAAAACTGCCTGATATCTGCAGGTCAAATCCAGTCGATCTCTCCCAGGTGTTTCTTCTACATGTCCTCCTGCGATGATCGGCTCCAAACGTCTTCGTTTTTCCCCTCGCCGCCTGAATCAAACGACAGAGATTAAATTCACCCACAGTTTGACCCGTGATTTTACCACCGAAACATTTACGGTTATCCTGGTCAGACAGGATAGAGATGCTTCTCTAGAGGTCTTTGTTCGTTTTAAGTCATGCAGCGACCAAAGTCGTTTAATTAATCACTCAGCTCTTCTCTGATTGGCTGGTTTATGATTCAGGCTCTGTAACCTGAAATAAAGCGGTTTGAGTCCGATCTGCTGTGCTTTGGCTTTTAAAAGCTTCATATATATAACCAAGGTTTCTGCCTGACCTGAAAGGCAGTGGCGCCACCAGGGGGCCACCATGTGCAATGCACTGCCAACCCCCCCCCCTCCCCAGTGTAAATTGTAGCAGCATCAGTTTAGTGTTTCATCCCATTCTGCACAGCCAGTGACGCAACAATAAAAACCAGGTTCTACTGACGTGTTCATGCTTTCTACAGGCAGGTTTACCACCATAGTAGATTCAAACCCTGAAGTTATGGCTTTTAGTTTCAAGATTTTTAGTGGCCCCATCTGGCGTCTGCCAGGGTTCCCAGACCGGCCCCGGAGCCGACGGCTCGGTTCTGCTGCGCTGTAAGCGACCAGAAATTTGGACATTTTTCACTGCTGAAATGTTTCTGGGTTAAATCTCTGATGTTTCTAGACCTCGTTCCTCCAGAACTTTCTAGAACCTTTTTATTTTTAACCTGGTCGGCTTTTTCCTTTTTGGGCTCCCAAAGCGAGCTCTTAGATCTCCACCCACTGCCATGATGAAAAACCATGAAATAAGCCTCAGCAAAGGTTGGAGGAGACCATTCCTCTCCATCCACACAGAGACTGATAACTGATCACTATTGGAATAAAGCCAATAGTGATCAACAAAGACCCCGTGAAACTTTCTGTGGGGATTAATGCTGGTTATGTTTAGCATTCTCCTCTACGGAGCTCCACCTTCCAACCAGGGCTGGATTCATGGTGGAGCTTTTAGATCCAGTAGAGGAGGCCGGTTTGTTAGATCTCCACCTGCACTGAGGCACCATTTCTGCTAAACTCCTCCTATAATAGAGCCTCTCTATGACTAATGTCTGCGTAAATTCTCAGTCATGAGGTTGATGGCACCTACAAAACCGGTTTGAACCGGAAGGCAAAGGAGAGGCTAATTGATTGGCTTCTAATGTGCTCAGAAGGATGGACCTCCATGCTGCTACATCAGCGCTCCAACTACTGATGGCTCTGCTGGATCCACAGAACTGACAAAGACCCTGGATTGGTGCCCAAACTCCCCCCAAAAAACATTTTCCTTCCAGTTTTATCCAGTTTTATGGTTTCAGTGACTAATCTGACTCAGTGTCGGCTGTCGGTCTTATTACTCCTCATGCAAACCTTCAGCTCACCATCTTTCCCTCTGACATCTCCTCATCAGCCTTTCCTTCAGGCCTGGAAATGAAAATCACTGCCAGCAGGAACTGACTGGAAGAGGAAACAGGAGCAGTTTGGGATCTTTCACATCATCCATTTTATTTTTGCACCATGTTTTTCTCCCAAGCTGTTTACATTTGATCACTGCTGGCCTTTAAGCTGCTGCTCATTCGCCATCAGTGGTCCAACACGCCTGAACCTACAGATGGTCTCCTTACCAGGCTTCTGCTGGTGAGGTGTTTGGGATGAGGATCTCCTGCTTGGGAATGTCGTCTGTTGGGAGAAGCCAGGAAGAAGCCAGAGCTTCTTCCTGGCTTCAGATTAAATGAACTGAGAAAGAAGCTCAGTCTGAGTTAACCTGACCTCCTCTCTGAGGAGAAGCTCCTCCAGGTTCTCCGCTCTCTCAGGCTTCCAGATTCAGGCTCTGAACTCTACATTCAGGCTGCTTTCCTGGAGCGTGAAGAAAAGGAAACTTCTGTTTCCTTCTGCTGGTTCCAGCTCAAACCAACCAACCATCAGTAAACGTTCCTCATCCAGGCGTTGAAGCTCCTCAGAACATCCATCAATCCGAACAGAACAGGACAGAACCAAACAAGCATCAGAACACACACCTCCACCTGCAGCTGCCAGCCATTCACAGCCTTGCAGCTCTCCAAAATAAGAGCCTGACATTAAAGGGGGGAAAACAACAGCACCAACTGTAGCTTTGTTAACTCTTCCTCTGCAGGCAGAAGTTTGTTTTTTCTGCACAAGCCAAATAAATAAAAACAGCAGGAAAAGAAGCAAAGAGAAACTGAGTCTGTTTGATTTGGAGCAGAAGAAGCAGAGAACCTACCTGCAGAACCTGGAGAACAAACAGGAGCTGCTGCAGCTTCAGGACTCCTCTGCTGCTCACTGAGACACACACTGACTCTATGTGTGTGTGTGTGTGGGGGGGGGGGGGGGGGTTACTGGTAACCACCAGAACCCGGACCGGATCAAACTGGACTGGAACAAAGCCAGCCTGCTATGGGAGGAAGAGTGGAAACAGCTGCAGACAGTCAGAGGACCTGAAGGTATGGACTTCTGTTACCATGGTAACAGCATGGATCATCATTTATTTCTCATTTATGACAATAAAGTTTGTTTTTCAAACTGCAGAACAGAATTCTGGACGATTACTGCTCCTGATTCCGGGTTCTGATCCGGTTCTGGTTTTCCCGCCAGTCCACGGTGATTTTCCTACCGTGTAGTAAACAAGAGAAGCACGTGACACGCAGCCGGGCGCTGATTGGAGCTGAGCTTCCATGGAGCCTTTGGACCTCTAAGTTCAGGACTAAAGAGTCAGAAGCAGAAATAAATAAACAGCAGAGCTTCAAAAACCCAGAAATGTTCCTGGAGGGAAAATTTCAGGAAAACCTGCAGGGAGCAACAGGAATGGTGGAATAAAGCAGGAATGTTGGAATAAAGCAGGAATGATGGAATAAAGCAGGAATGATGGAATAAAGCAGGAATGATGGAATAAAGCAGGAATGATGGAGCAGAGCAGGAATGATGGAATAAAGCAGGGATGATGGAATAAAGCAGGAATGATGGAGCAGAGCAGGAATGATGGAACAGAACTGAGCAGAGCAGGAAAGTTTCATGGACGCTCTGCAGACCTCCCCTTCCGTCGCTCCTCGTGTGCGCGCGTGCTTTTGTTAATGTGCGCGCGCCCTTCCCCCACGCGCCGCTACGCAGCGTTCGTGAGCTACGTGCAGAGTGTGAGGAGCAGTTTTTTTCTCCATCCTGGCTCATGCAGCCTCTCTGAGCTGCTGGGTCCAGTTAAAGGACCAGAACCAGTTTCCCTCCATGTTTCCTTCAGAGCTTCAGATAAAAGCAGAAACTTTGGAGATATTTGGTCATAGATCCAGGAACCTGCTCAGGGTGGATTAGCTCTGATCTTTGGACCTTCTTAGGTTACTGGGTCAAACATGGAGATGATTTCATTAAATTCATTTGGACTGAGCAGGACCCACTGTGGGACAGATGGACAGATGGACGTCCTGAGGAACCTTCAGAGCTCCTATAGTAACGCAGAACCTCCTCCTTGGTTTGATTTGGATCCAGTTCAAGTTTTATTTTTTTCCCTGAATTTTTACTGGTTCTTACTGAAACATTGTCCTTTATTTTATTTTCAATTTATTCTTATTCAGACTCATTTCCTTCTGTTTGGTCTTTAGGCAGAATGGAGATCCGATTATTGCCTCCATTTTTTATTTCTCCCTTAGATCCAGAAACATCCATAGTGGTTTAACTGGTCTCTCTAAATTAATAAATTCTATAGTGCTAATTCAGAACAATCGCCATCTTTAGTGGTTTTACAGACAGGATTCAGAGGGATTGCTTCAAGGTTTCTATCAAAGGAAAACAGATGATGGGCTGAGTTCTACCTGGACCGTCTGAAGAGTTTGGTCTATGGATCCAAACAGGTCCAGCCTTCACCGGCTTTCACCGCCTGTACGTTCTGTTGCCTAGCAACCATGACAGTGACACAGCAAGAAGGCAGAGAACGGATACAGAACTTGGCACTACTGTTCTGGGTGCTAATAACATTTTCAGCAGCGGTACGATCATCGTAAATATCCGATTTATCGTCCCCATTTACACAGGAACAGATAAAAACCATTTAATAAACCAAACATTACCGGCGTGTCCCGAGCCCGTGACATCATCAATGACCCCTCACCCCCCCACCATGCTGCCCTCTGGGAAGAGGCTTCCCAGCATTCAATGCAGGACCAGCAGGTTCTGCAGCAGCTTCTTCCCCACCGCCATCACACTGATGAATGTAGAATGGGTTATTGTATTTTATTTTATTATTATATTTATGATATTTTATCATTATTTAAATATATATATTTAAAATAAATTGTTAAAACTGTAAATTTACAGCCATCTTTACTTTTTTTCAAGGCTGCACTTTTTAAAGATGAAACTGTCCAGTGAGCTGTTTCCAAACAAAATTTATTTTTGTTTTACACTTGTGTAAAACAAAAAAGACAAATAAAATCTGTCTAAAGTCTAAAAGTGGTCCCAATGGAATTTCCCATTGGGAAGCTACTAGCGCTAAGTTGCTAACTGGTTAGCAAGATGTTTCCAACAAACCAGCCACAACCAAACATGCTTACGAACCTTCCACCACAACAATCCCGCCCCCTTGATAATCGACCAATCACATTCACTTTATTCAGTCGTGTAAAGTCGGACACTCGGGAGAATTCGGAAATGCAACGGTTGGAACAGCCGCTTCCCTACGACTTGAAACTGAACTTCCAGTATTCACTGCTGTTCGGAGCAGCCAGCTTGCTTGGACTTGCAATGAATCATGGGATACCCAAGGCCTCATGGGAAACACAGACCCGTCGGTTAAAACGGGCAAAAAGAAGGATTTACTTATCAGCTGCATATCGAGGTGTCTTCCATTTCAAACAGGCCTCCAATCCACACTATGACGTAATGGTCCGACTATTCTGGCCTTCGGAGGACGAAGACCTTGAATTCCAACTCAGCAGTTGACTTCCACCTGGATGAGGCGACAGTGGAGAGGAAAACTCTCGT